GCATTATTTAAAAAAAAAATGGATAAATAAATTTAAGGTAGTTTTTATTTAGAAAAAAACTTTTTAGTTTTGCAGAAAATTCATTTCGAAGCATTTTATTATACTTTCAGATAAATTGATTTACGTTTATATTGAAAAAAAAAGCATATATGAATAAAATTGGCTTAGTGAACCCTACCCAGATGACAAGGAAACTCCTGGGTCAAGTATTAGAAGAAATTTGCCTTCGTGGAGGCCGTTTTGATGGAACTAACCCGCATTTGCTTTGCACGGAGAGGAAAACCACAAAAGCCTCATATGGTTAGCCTAACGACAAGAGCACTCAAACCCATGATCCGTCTACCACTGAAAATATTTTTACGTTAGTACTATGGTCGGCACCAGTCGGATGCGGAATTCATATAGACCAGCCATCGTTGGGATTCGAATCCGGTCACCTCACTGAGAGGGAAGCGCTCTATCCCTTGAGCCGCAACGGCTCGGATTATAAAATGTAAATCAATTTAATTGTTTTATGGTATGTTCAGATTTGAACATAATGTGACAAGAGTTATAAAAAGCTTTATGGCAGTTGACGCTCACCGACGGGTAATAAACCCAAATTTTACCGGGTACTCGGAATTGGCCGGGTAACAAGTAAAGTTTTTACCTGGTATCCGGAACAAACTGGGTTAAGATTCAGTTTTCACTAGGTAACGGGTACCCGGTGCATCTTACCATTAATTTTGCCTCTAATTTTGTACCATTTTTTAAGCAAATTGGCCCGCTTTTGGCACTCAAATACATAAGGCGGTAGCGAAATTTAAATAAAAACATTGCTTTTTCAGTCAAATAAATTTGATTTTCAATAATTTTGATTAAAGCGATTTACCAAATATTTTTTGCAATAATCATGCATATAAAATTTATATAAATATAATATAAATTACTTATTGTTTACAAATAATGTAACTGAAATTTACAATAAATTCGGATACATTTCATATGAATTCTTTCTAATTTTATAATTAATTACTATTCTATCGATGGGTTTTTATTAACTCGCTTACTCATCTGTGACGGGAAATCTTGCAATCGAAATTTTAACTATATTTCAACGAACCCTTCTGAAACTTCATGTCTGATGACGTTCTATCTACTCCTGATCGTAACAAGCGTAAGTTATGGTTATTTTATCGCCAAATAGAATAAAAATATTGACACTTTTTAAACTACTTTTAATTCTGAAATCTCATTTGAAGATTAGATGACACTTTAACATTTCCATACCACAAAAAATAAGAATATCGCTTTATTAGGTTTAAAGGGAATTTATCGTTAATCGAAATGTGGACTGAAAATAGTTTAAATTTCGACTGGCGCCTTGCACCAGATGAAGTGCAAGCTGAACATATTTTCTGGACTATCACAAGTAGAATTTATATCGCCATTTTGTTAACAAAGAAAATTTATTGTCCCGAATTCAACTGGAAGTTTGTGCATGATACCAATACAAAACACTATATTTCTCTAAATTATGCACGAGAAGCAAAATTTGCCAACAGCTAATACTTAAAAAAAAAAAAAAAAAAAANAAAAAAAAAAAAAAAAAAAAAAAAAAAAAAAAAAAAAAAAAAAAAAAAAAAAAAAAACTACGATAAGTTGATGAAAAAGAAGTAAACTTTAAAAGTTTTTCGAAAGTTACAAGCAATGCAACTTACGTTTTAGGACTGAGAAAAATTATATTTTTTCTACTTTTTTGTCTATTTGAAATTCATAATTTTTAATGGTATTATTTAACATCAGTATTGAACAAATAAAATTATATTTTCAATTTTTAATGAATTATAGAAAATATAGTTCTTTGTAGAAGAGTTTGTGAAGACCTTAAAATTTAATAATCACTCTTTTGCTTCCCCCCCCCCCACATTTGTTGAGGAGCGAACGAGTCGGTGCCGTGGGGCTTTTGGGTTAAAGGACCCTCAAAATAATTTCTAGCTAAAAAGTTATTAAAATACATATTAAAAGTATCAGATTGTTGCATTTGTTTACATCGCATTACACTAATGTATTAGGATACTCCCTATATTAAAAAATAGTCAGCGCTGTTTTGGTTCTCAACTTAACGTTACATTTGGTTTTGCTGCGCAACAAATAAGAATTGGGAATTTAGGAACAAATTATGCGAATTAGGAACAACAAATTATAAGAATTACGACTGGGTGTTTACTTAGTAGAATGTAATAAAAAAATTAAAATTTGATTATTAGTAAAAGATTTATTAACTGTAAAATTTGTAATAAAGTTGGAATCTCTGCAGATCGCAACAATGCAAGTAGAGTTGAAACATAACTTGCCGAAAGGGAGCATTTTTATTCAGAGCATAAACACAGGCTTTTTTTCTTCTTCAAAATACCGTTTTTTTCTTCAAAATACCAAGTTGTTGCAAATTCAGGTTCTCTTTTCATGAATCATTTTGATTGGATGATGACTATTTATTCATTGTTGAGTAAAATTTACTTCTCTCAAGATGTTTATTTGATAAGTTTAAGTTAATGTCAAAAATTGCAACGAAATAAAAAAATAAAGGCGTTCCATGTTGCCAGAAATTAACATTTAAATATCTATATAAGTTTTACTCTAAATTGAAAAGTCGTTTCGTTTTTGAACTGTTATGAGATAAATTTCATTATGTCATTAAAATAATCTATTAAAATTACTTCTCAAGTAATTTCTTAACATTCTGCTTGCTATTTTTTCTGTTATTTTTTTTCCCAAGTACAGTTGATTATTTTTCAAGTCAGGAGAATCTTTCATTTCCTTACAATTGACATATTAACAAAATTTTATTACATAAAATTTTAATAACAATATAATTTTTTAATAAATCTTTCTTTTTTTTTTATAGGGAAATATCAATTTTTAATAGAAAAACAATAATGAATGTGGAACAATCATTAGGGTTGGCAAGAGGAGGGAGTAGGAGGTGGAGCTGCCAAGTTATTTAATTAAAAGGATTATTATACTGAGGCACTGAATGTTCAATAAGGTATATTTCAATAAGGTACTGAATGTTCACAAAATAGGTACCTCTCAGAAAAACCAAGACAGACCCCTGATATATATATATATATATCGATTCACAGTACCCTTATCATGTATAATTCCTGAATAAATTTTGTTTTCAATTTAATTTTTAAAAATCAGTTTTGGTGGTTGATAGTGTTGTTGCTGATACAACTTATACCAATTACAAAATATACAACAAAAATATACAATTATGTAAGTAATTAAATAGTAATTTACAAAACACAACTTTAAATTTATAAAATTGCATTGGTAAAAGTTTAAAAGATGAATTAATTTATTTAGAAAGCAATAATTTAACTTATAAAGCATCTAATTTTTTTTTAATTTAATTTTAAAGTTTAATATAAAATATCACTAAAATAAATTTAAAAAAAAAATAAAAATACTCATTAAACTGTATTACACAATTTATACATCTTTTGAGGAAATAAACCTTTACAGAAATAATATAATATACATAATTCATAATACCAGTTATAATAAAAAAAAAATTTTTTAAGCCTAAAATAGCAAAATGCTTCAATAAAATTAATTCATAATACCAGTTATAATAATAAAAAAAAAAAATTTAAAGCCTAAAATAGCAAAATGTTTCAATAAAATTAAAGATTTTTTCTTAGATGCTTTTAAATTGTTTATTTACAAATTGTAATAAGTTATAGCCGATTTTTATGTATAATCAGGGGTCTGTCCAAGCCAAATTTACTACCCTTTGGCTGTACCTTCACAAATTCAACTTTAAGAAAAACGGTAGTTTCACAAATTACCTTTTCTTAAAATTTTATTTTTGAATCCCATAGGAATAAGAAACGATAAATCTATATTTTTGTGTTGATTTTTTAATTTTCACAAATTATGTCTAAATTTTCACAAATTAGGAGAATTTTCCCCATATTAAGATTTTATTGATTTTAAAAAAAAAATCAATAAAATCTTGATATGGTGTCAAAATGTGAAACAAAATTAAAAATTTTAAGCGTCTTACATTAAATTAACACAACGTCATTCAGTTTTGTTCAGTCAATAATAGAAATTAGCATTTTATCTAAATCTCAATTTTCACAAAATAGAACACTTCGAAAACTGCACGTTTCATAATTATACAAAATAAGAATTGTTCAGAGGATATGAAAATTATTAATTTCTATCACGAAATTAAAAATTTATTAAACGCAAAAGTTTTAAATGCGTTGGAAAATATTTTAAGCACAAATAAAGTACAGTATAAAACGTTTTCCATTTAACTATCACGAACTGTTTTTTTGTTTAAATAGATACAAAGTAAATAAAAATGCGTCATTAGACATTAATTACAGGATAATTATAAGCATTAAATTGCCGAAAACGATGTTTAAATTCTGATTAATGTTAATTAGTTTAATAATTATTTTCTGTAAATGTTTTAACGCAGATTTAGAATAAAAAAATTGTAAACGGAATAAAAACAAAATTACCTCTTGCATTTTATTCTATAAAAATCTTCCCGGATATTCCCTTTTTCGACAACAGAGAGATTGAAAATATGAATAAATAAATATTTGAAATTAAAATGAACAGTTTGCCAAAAAAAAAAAAAAATTAGAGTTTCGCAGTTTATGATATCAATTTGAATCGGGTATCGTATTCGCAGCCTCTGTTCGAAAAATGCAAAACAAATTAGCCGGGCAGGAAAATAAATTTCTCATCCCTTACAAAACAATTAAACAGTGAACAAACCTGTAAAATTCTTTATATAATCCTCCTAACCTTTCTGGAAACTAGAACTCGAATGAACGTTTTTTCGTCTGTCCAAATTTTTCTTTCGTCATAAATCATAAAAACAAATAATTTGACTTGATGCCAGATTTCATAGTAAATATATCAGAAGTAAAAATCTTTCCAAATTAAAACTTCTATTAGAGCTACAAGCGCCTTTTCTATATAAACATAGAACTCAAAATTGCTTCTACACCAACTTTTTTATGATTTGTTGATATTAAATTTCTTGAATCCAACGAGCTTGAATCTTAATTAAAGAATTGCTTTAATTTTGTTGTAAAGAGCTACATGATTGTGGCAGTACTTTTATAAGGAAAATAATTTAGCATTAAGTTTCAAAAAATAGATAGTTTTTTAGTGGTGTTAGCAGAATTACTCTCCTCGGAGTTTCAGGAATTACTAGAATATTATTGATTCAAGTGAAATTTACGTTAGAGTAAAAATAAATAAAATGCCTTTACCGGCTGCCTTATTATCACGACTCAAAAAGCGTGGCATTGTAAAACAAGTTGAACCGGGTATGATTTATTATTCTATTTATTCTTATTTGTATTTACAAATTAGACAATATTTTGGTTTTGTAAAAATTGTGTATCAGATTAAGCTAAATGTAGGGGATATTTCCGTATGGGATGGGGATCTCCCGTGCCAACAATAATCGCCAAGGCAACAAATTGATCTTAAACTTCCAAATATTTATTAAAACATGTAGAAGTTTGCTGCATGTCTACTAGTTCTACACTTGGAGTTAGTCCCCTCGTGGGCCGCTACCCGAAAATTGCCAGACTTGCCGATTGTTTTGCCGCAGATCGGGATACGAAAATCTTCGCTAAATTTATAACCACCAGACTTTAAGACGGAATCTTAGTCTTTCAAAGTATTTTTAAGTGTAATCAGGGTTAGCAAATTTTTGAAGCATATCTGTTTTTACTGTCATGTTACAAGATCTTTTGTGACATTATATTTTCCTTTTTATTTCAACTAATTAAAATTTAATTAAAGAATATATCTTAAAGCATTAAACTTTTTTTTAAAAAAGTTATAAAAGATATTTGACGAAAAACAACTTAAGATAAAAATATAAATTTTTTTTAAGTGTGATAATATCTGAATTTCATATATGTTAAGCAAAATAAATATGACATTTATAATATTTTCATTTATTCAAAACCAATATTTATTCATTTATCCAAAACCAATAGTTTCATCAAAAACCAATATTTAAAGGTATGGATCACACACAACTTTTAATAATTTATTTTTAATGGTATATTAAAATAGTGTAATATATTTGTACATAATTGCAAAATTAATTGTAAGATGAAGAGAAAACTTTGTTAAATTTATTATTCGCTATTCCATAATTTGAGTATAAAAGTAGGTTTTGATGGATTTTACCAGTCAAACACCAGTTTTTAATGTCAAAAATCAAACATTGAAGTGTATGAATAGATGGGCCCTTGCACACTTTGCATTCAGCTGCTAAACTTCTTTTCAAAAGATGAGTGATTTTTTTTAGTTCGCGCGTATTTGGTTTGTTGTTAATTCCATCTTAAAACTATATTTTAAAATAATTTATTAACCAAAAAAAAGAGCATGTCACAGTTTTTAACTAAGGGTATATGAAGGATTTCTGCTTTAGAGTAATATTTTAATTCATGCTACAATAGCTAATTTGAGAAACATTTCAATTATTTCTTTTTCAACAATATTTTTTTAAAGTTTTTGGAAACTAAAGCAAATCCCTTTTCTTGATATTCTAAAAACTTAGTATTGTGCTTTATAGTGTGAAGACATTTCAAAATTCTTTTATTCTTTTGATCAGATTTTGATATTTTAGTTGCAGGAAAAGTGAAGCCTATATTGTGTTGGCAAACGTATGGTGACTTTAAAAGTCATGAAAAAATTCAATCATGTAACAAAATTACAAACCTGATTCATCTTGTCTTCATCAAAATAAACTTTTTGACTGGGAATTTGATGACTAGGAAGGCTAACCAGAAAGTTCATCAGAAAAGCTTTTATATTAAAGTTTTTAAAAAAAACAATAAATAGATCGAAGAAATTTATTTTTGTTAATATGATTTACAAAATCTTGATTTTACGAAACTGTTTTATTGAAACTTAGTCCATTTGTTCATGTCTACTTTCTTGCAAAAAAAGTTTTTTTTCTTTCAAAATTTAAGTTTATTTGTTATCAACGCAATTTGTTGATAAAATAAATACAACTCTAAAATTGAAGAACAAATATGACAAATGATTCTCCAGCATTTGTGTAAGAAAATGCAAGTTGACCTCACCCACAATTTTTAATTCATTTGTTGCCACTCTAAGAGGCCATTCAAATATATACTACGTAACCATGTTTTGGATTTTGGATTTCTTTTCCTCCTTTATCTGCAAAAATAAGTAAATCGTGAAACCATTAATTTTGTTGCCGTAATTCATAATATTTATCAAATTTTAAGATCTAAATCAAATAAACGATGTACTTTTTTTTAGGAATATTTTGTGTTTTCTTTCAATGAATGACCTCTAAAGCTAATAAAAGAAATGTTTTTCTAACTTTAACTTTCCCTGAAATAAGATTTTGTTTCAAATTTAAAGTTTTTCAATTGTAACTAAATGTCTTATGTAATCAGGGGTCTGTCCAGGCCAAGTTTACTACCGTTTAGCGGTACCTTCACAAGTTCAACTTTAGGAAAAATGGCAGTTTCACAAAATACTTTTTCTTAATATTCTATTTTTGTATCCTTTAAGAAACGATAAATCCCATTTTTACCATATTTTTTGTGTTGATTTTTTGTGTAATTTTTAATTTTTGCAAATTATGTCTAAATTTTCACAAAATAAGTACCTATCAGAAAAACCTAGACAGACCCCTGGTAATACCTCTTCCCTCTTGTTAGCAAAATAAACAAATTCTAAATACCCCTCTCCCCACAGTTAAGTGCTTAAGCAATATTTGAATGTCTGTTAATAACCCTGTGATTTATAACAAGACATGTTAGAAACCTCATTATAACTCTATTTTGCCTTATTGCTCACATTTTTTCTTAAAATACTAATGAAATAAAGTAGATGTTTTATATTTTTGAAGACAGTGAAATTTTCAGAGACAATCAAATGCTTTTTTCAGACAGCTTTAACAAATAATTTTTTGAAATGCTATAAAATGTTATCCTTGTTAAATCCAGTTCTTGCTTATAACATCAGGATTATACATAAACTTTTTAGCATGTAGCCAACCATTTAATAAATAGTTCTTCATCAAACCCAACATCTCCTAAAATCAGGGCATTGAATAATCATGTTTAACTGTATTTATTTTTAATTTCATATGAAGCTATACAATACATACTGGTACAGTTTCACAGTGTTTCATGTTTTTAAACTAAACTTCATGTTTTTGTCCATATTTAGAAAAGTAAAAAAAAAAACAAAAAAACATTCATATTATTTTTTAGTTGCANAAAAAATTAAAAAAAAAAAAAAAAAAAAAATCAAATTATTAAAACATTTTAAAAAAATTAAGAAAAAGAGTTTTAAAATTGAATTCGAAGGGAAAAAAAATTTTGTAACATAACAATGCATGGTACTTTTCCATTTTCCCAGCACAAGAAAATTGAACAGTTTTTTTTTATTGTTTTATTTATTTTTTGGAAACATACAAAAAAATTGAACAGTTTTTTTAAAAATTATTATTTTATTTATTTTTTGGAAATGCCCTTTTTGTTTTTTTGTTAAATAAATAAATAAAAAATGATTGAATTTACTTCCTTTCGGCTAACGGAAAAGTTCCCATTATACCTTCAATGAAGTAACAGCTGAGAGTATTATTATACCATTAATCTATGAATAATATATTGTTGTGTTTTTTTTTTTTTTTTTTTTTTTTTTTTTTTTTTTTTTTTTTTTTTNATTTCATGTTTAACTAAGAGTAAGCCTTTTATATAGTTGAGTTACTTATAAAATACTGTATGTACCTGTTACAAAAAAAAATATAATGCTGTTCCCTATATTTTTAGAAATTGAGGAAGAAGTTATAGCTGAAGACTATGATGACAATGAAAACAGAATGGATACTCAAAATGGTGATGTGGACTTGACTACTGAATTGAAAGAACCGTGGGATGGTTGCCCAAATAAGTGGAATATATATCATGATTGTACAGTATTCTGTAAAGAAACCTGGGGTTTTGGAAAGAAGCAGCCATCGCCTAAGTCAGAAAGAAAACGTTTAGCAATGCTGAAGAAATATCCTCTTCCAAATGGATGGGAAGAAACTTATGATCCTGGAGCGTAAGAGTCTCTTCTCTTTTTTAATCAAGATCCATTGATTTAAATTAACAATTAAATCAAATGGTTTGTTAAAAAATCATTGATTTAAAGCAAAAGATTTTTTTTAGAGAAATTGTTATTTAAATGCAATTGTTATTTAAACTTATGATCCTGGAGCGTAAGATTCTCTTCTCTTTTTCAATTCTGTTGTCTTTTAATCAAGATCCATTGATTTAAATTACCAATTAAATCAAATGGTTTGTTAAAAAATCATTGATTTAAAGCGAAAGATTTTTTTTAGAGAAATTGTTATTTAAATGTTTACGAAACATTTTTATATGAAATTGAATAGATTTTTTTATTGAATTTCATAGTTATAAAATTTATACATATTTTATTTTTATATTAATAAGTTTGATATAGCAAATTTACATTAGTACTAGGTGTGTTATAAACTTTAATAGTTTTGGCAGGACATTTTCTAAATCTGAATTTTAAAGAATGCGAATAGAAAACAAAGAAAAAATTTCATGTAGTTTTACTATTAAACTTATACATCCCTTAAAAGTACTTATTTGTGGAGAATGCACGATGAAGTAGTTATAAAGTGATTGAAAATAATTATCATATAATGTGATCAATAATAATTATAAAAAGTAAATGAAAATTCCATGCAATTTTATTTTTAAACTTATTGCAGCCCTAAAAAAATAGTTATTAGTGAAGAAAATAAAGAATGTAAGATGAAGTAAATAGTGATACACCACCATAAAGTGATTGAAAATAATTATAATAGAGAACAAAGTGAAAATTTCATGCAGTTTTATTTTTAAACTTATATGACCGTAAAAATTAATTTTTAATGAACGATATGAAGAATGTAATATGAAGTAGTCATAAAGTAATTGTCATGAGTCAATCACAACGTGTGTCTTACAAAAAGCATTTTGTGTTTAACCACTGAAGAAGGTTCGCGTTTATAGAACTCAAACTAAAGTGTGTCCATTTATGTTTTATTTATGTGTTGCACCAAGTATACCCTTTTCTTATTTACAAAGGTTCATTCTTTAAACTATACTAGTTTCTAAACTAACAGAATTTTTAAAAAATAGCAGAATTTCCCTTTTGCAAGGTGGAAGATAACTTAATTGGTGATTATTTATTTATTCATAACTTTATAAACATAGAAGGCTAAACCTAGAGGAAAGGTTAAAAACGTTTTTTATTTTTTGTGTTAATACTAGAAATGAATAGAAATATTTTCTGTTTTGCCATTTGCGTAAAATATTGCTGAATTTAATAGCAGAAAAATGTATTTACCTCAAAAATTGGTCAAATAATGAGACAGAAATTTTATAAGAGTATACAATTTTTATATCTATTAAATTAACATTTTGATTTTGAACTTGTCATAATAGCAGACCTCTCATAATATGTTATACTCTTACTCACTACATCAAGCATCTACTGTATAACTCACATTCCAAAAGAAGTAACTGATTTTTATTTAAAAACTTTTACTGTTCATATAAGCTTTTATTTAATTTTTTCATTTACACTTAATATAAGGGTGATATGGTTTATTTACTTTCTGTTTTGATTCTTTTGAACATATTGAATGATTAGATTTTTTAAAGAAAATAGGAATTATAATTTTTCAAAAAAAAAAAAATTCAATTTTTTCCTTTAAAACTTTGAAAAATCTTACAACAAACATGGAAAATAACAAATCTTAAAATTGACAGTAACAATAAGTAGCTGATGATACTCAAAGTTTATAATTTAAGTTTCAAAAACTAAGACTGAGACAAAGTATATATTTAACATCTGTTTTTATTATTTACAAAATTAGTAATTATTATTTTTGGTTCCCTTATCATACTTAATCCCATGTGAGATAATTGATAGTTAACTTATATGACTGACATTTAAAAGAAAGGAAAAGGAAGTTGTTTGTTTTGAGACGAAAAATAGTAACTAATTCCTGATGCTAGTGATAAAGAAGAAAATTATAATTTGTTACAGCATGAGGAAAATGCCTCGAAAAGCACATTTGATGTTTATTTATTAGGAGATGAGATGAAAAAGTTGAAGCTTTGTGGTGTTGTCAATTTAAGAAATGGTTGCAAAAGCTGAAGAAGTGCAAATTGAAACCGATTAAAAGGGCAAAAAGAAACCACAATCAGTGCCAACGTTAGCAGAAGGCTTTGAAACGATGAAGAATTCTCTGTATTCACTCAAATTTACTGAAGAGAAGCAGTAATCTGTTACAAGTGTCAGAAATTAATTGTTTGAGCTGAGAAGATAAGATCTTGTTTAAACCAAAGATTTCAAATATTTGAAATAATTAAACATGTTTCTTCTTCTTTCTTTTGCATTGTAAATAGTTTAGCATTGCCTACTTACTTTTCCAATTAAAACTTTTTATATTTATTGTATTTATATTATTTTTTATTACTTTATTACATTATATGATTATTTTAAAAATTATTTTTTAATATTTTATGTTGTTGTTTTCCCGTATCTACCATTCACAACAATTGGTCCCTTGAGGGATAAGTGATTAAGGTTCTACTGAATATATATACTTATACACTACCCTAACATAATGGAAGAGACCCTTTCAGTTTTTGATATTTTTTAAAATTTCTCAAGAAATACTTAAAGTATTATTTTGTACTTTTAGAGATGTTTAGTTTATGCGATTTTTATACTTAGCAATAAAATTTAAAGCTTTCTGAGGTTTTAGAGACCTACGATAAATTACGAAAGAAAACAAGTATTTTTGAACACCCTGTGCCAGAAAATCAAGCAATTAGCTTGTAACTTGCATCAATTACTTTAGTTGTTATTTTTAATAACTGCATAAAGTTTCTTGGAGTACATATTTATGGAAATACGGACATTTTTATAAAAAATTTATTTTTTTCGTTATAACTATAGATATTCAATGTAATTAAGCAAAATTTTTGGTGCAATTTAAGATTAATTACAAAATTTTCAATTTAAAAATTTAAAAAATCGTTAAAAACTGCACCAGTTATATATGTTTATATATGTTATGTCCATATTTCTATAAATATTTACTCTAGGTTTACGAAATTTTATCCTGTTATAAAAAATAACCACTAAAGTAAGCAATACAAGTTACAAGTTTTTTTCTTGATTTTCTGGCATAGGTGTTCAAAAATACTCGTTTTCTTTCTTAATTTCTTGTAGATCTTCCAAACCTCTGAAAGCTTTAAATCTTATTGCTAAGTATGAAAAATAGCATGAACTAAACATTTCTAAAGTTACAAAGTAATCCTTTAAGTATTTCTTGAGAAATTTAAAGAAAATAACAAAAACTGTAAGTGTCTCTTCCATTGTTGTAAGGTGTATATAGCTGATCATCTCAGATATCTAATTTTCAAGTAATGCAGAAAAACTGTACATTCATATTTTCTATAGAAATGTATTATGAATAGATTATGAACCGTTTCTGTAGAATAATTCATAGCTCTCAAAGAACCTTGATATGGCTAATTATTTCATAATAAGGCTTAAGTAAAAAAAAAAAAAATATTAGTTATTGAAAAAAAAACTATTTCATAAAATATTTATTTTCCAAATTATAAGTGCTAAAATAGAATACAAAAATGTTATTATTTACTTTGTTTTTTTTTTCCACATTTTTAACAAACATAAAAAAAAGTTTTAAAATTTTTTATTCATTTATCTCAGGGGTGTTAATTTATTAGTTGAAGTTTGTTATACAACTGTATTTCTTTTTTATATATTAGCGTGTGCTTAAATAGCAGAAACCGCTGTGTTGATCTGCAAAACTATAGAAAAATTGTATGATTTATCTGAGTCCATTATTGATATTTGTATTGCTAAAATTTATCTCTAAAGCAATAATTAATATACGCTGCAAGCTGCTTCTGCTTCTGGAGTGTGTGTTTTTTTCCAATCAAAATTTATGTTGTCCAATGTAATTTTTTATTGTTTTGTATTAGTTTTATTAATTAATGATGGAAAATTTACTTTCCAGAGGTAGATATTACTACTGGAATACAGCTACAGGTGAAGTTGCTTGGCTATCTCCTTCTCATCCTCGCTGCAAAATTTCTCCACCTGCTGAAAAGCTTCGAGGTAAATATGGTTCATTGCTGAGACAATTTTTGTTGTGTTTTTCTTACAGCTATAGCTTGGTTATTATGACTCATTCAATAAGATCTCAGATTTAAGGAGAATATTTTTAATAAATGTTAAAAGTCTGTAAAACAGTTATAAATGTAAGTCTGTCTGTAAAAGTCAGACTTAATGTTAAAAGTCTGTAAAAATAATATTACCTATTATAATGTGAAATAAGATTTTTTTTGTGGAATTTTTCGTATACTTTTGACTGTTCTTGAAAACTTAATTCCTTTTGAAAGGGTTTAAAAATACTCATTTTGTTCAATTTGCTGAAATTTTTGTAAATAGATAAATAAATTAAAAAAAGACAAAATGAAGTTCCTACCATGAATCTCTTATTTTAAATAACTTACAAAAGATGTTGCTATGCAAATCATTCTACATCTACTGCTCCTTATGTGACTCGATTATATTTCTGACCAAATATTTGTAAAACAGGAAATGTGATAGAGATGGGAAAGACATAATTAAATTGATAGAAAGCATTGTTAAATTGTAGTGTAACATTTCTAGTTAATGATTGCTGTGCAGTTCTCCATCCTTATGTGCTTTACCTCACCTCTAAGCTTGTTTTTGCTATACTGAATTAACTTATCGATGTATTAAGTAATTTTTACACAGTGTTTCAATTAGTGGAAAATCAAAGTGTAACAAATGTATCATATATCCAGCCATTGCTTTTATCTCTTGAAGAGAATTGATTTATTTTTCTTTTCAATTGTTGCTTATTACTTATGTAAAACGATGTATTAATTTGCATAGAAATTAATGACTGGATTGCAATTATAAACTGTGTAAAAAAATGTTTAAGTATTGGTTTTTCCTTTTTTCAAATGAGTTTCTTTCATTTCTCCTGCTTGGGTTGGAAGAAACCTGTTTCTTCTATGAATTTTTTTTTGTTCTTTCATTGCGGAAGAGACTTATCATTCTTAAACAAGCATAAATATCCCCCTACAATATGATAGGCACAACTCAGGATTGTGTCAGATTATGGAGAGATTCTCATTTGTTTGATAATAATGTGTTTACACTTTTAGTTTAATGGCTTCTAAATAGTTATTTGTCGAACTTGCAAATTTTGTTTCAACTTTTTAAGTGTTTGGCAAGTGTTAAGCATGCATTGTTAACTTCATAATCTTACAATGTATTTTTTATATATATTTACCATGTAATAAATGTGGTTTAATTTTAGCTGTCTTGAAAGAAAATTTCCTTGAGCCAATGGATGAAGGTGAAGATCAAGATCAAAGTGTAAGTATGAAAAACTAACTTTAAAATCAAATCTAAATGTGCAATATAAAAACTATAATAGAAATTTTTTCCAAACATTTAATGGATTTATTAAATATTTACTTCTATAGTAATCGATTTTCAATTGAATTCACACTGTTTTTATTTAAAGCTGTTGAAAGTTATAATTAGTAGAAAAATTGTAAATATTAGTTTTAATATCATTTGTTTGCCTGTTTGGACACTTATCTTTGTCAGAATAGCACAGACCCCATACATTCTTCGAGATTTTTACTTACATTTTTTTAAAAATCTTTCTTTGTAATAACATTATTTGATTTTCGTACTTAATGTAATGTCATTAATGTTTTTCACTGTATAATTTTTTCCTAATTTTGAGTTGCTATTGTCTATACCTAATTCTTTTCTTGTATTATAGATATTTCAATTTCATACAAATAATATTCCCATTTATATTTTGATACTAATAGATGAAACTTGATTGAGGGTTGCAAATATTCTTTATGTGAAACACATTATAAGAGTTTAAGCATTTTTAAGTAATTTAAAATGTATTTTTTTTCTTCAAAATTTATATCTTGGTATAAAAATAAGTACTTATTTTTGCATTTCTAATTTTATGTCAAAAAATATGTGTATTTATTTTTTCATCAGTTATTTTAAATTGAATGTTATTCAAAAGTATTGTCTTGTGCTCGTAAAAAAATTTTTACTAGAAGAATTGCACTAGAAGGTACCAATTTGAATTGTAAAGATGTGAGAAAAAGTCTAATCGACTTGAAATAAATAAAATTTATATAAATGAAAATAAAATTCATTTCAATCATTGTTATTGTTCTGTTTTATTATTTTTATTTAAAGTTTTAAAGCATTGACTGCATCAGAAATTAGTAGTGGAAGTAGAGAAATCAAAGCAATATCCTACTAGAATAATATCATCATATTAAATAAATCTATCTTAAAAATAAAAAAATAAAAAGTTTTATGACATAACAATTTTGGAATTCTAAAATACAATTACGTCTCAAAAAATTTAGTTGAATAAAATGAAATGAAACTGATTTTTATGTACATTTTTTCTTATTTGGAAATGTATGCTTTAAATTTTAGGATTCAGAAGATTCTGAGGATGAAGACAATGAGCTCAATGAAGAAAGAAACAGAATGGAAAGACAGCGTAAAAGAGATTTGGGCAGAGAAAGAGCACGAGGTGATTATACAAAAAACTTAAGTCCTTTAACATTGATTCCCTGTGTGTAAATAGTTTAGGGCCATACTGGTGATCTCGGCAATCATCGAGTGGAACAGTTGGACCGACTTGCCTTGATATTCTTTTTTCGATGTGTGTCCGGTTGTCGTGCTGGAAACATGTAGCTTTGGGAAAAACTGTTTTAGGTCAAAATCTAAAAGATTTTTTCCAAGTTTCATTGTTTTCCGTGGTTGAAGTGTAAGGAATTTTCTTATTGGCTTTAAATAAACTGAGATTCTTACAGGACATGAAAATTTTTAAAAGCTATTTCTTTAGGTTTAATTTAGTGAATTGTAATTTTTGTTCTTGTGGTCAGGATGTTGAAATTGTAGAACACGTTATATTTTATTGTAATTTATATTCAACTCAAAGCTTGAAAAAGGAACTGAGACGCTTAGATATTTCTTGATCATTTGTTTTGTCCTTGTTTGCTAAATGCGCCGAAATCCTAGTATTTTATGAAATTTTGTTTACTACAAAACAGATGTTGCAACAGAAATAAAACTGGACTGACTGTCTTTGTAAGTACTTCCAATACATCAATGTCACCTCTGATTCTTTTTGCCCCTTTAAGAAACACTATGGCGAGCAAAGAGGCCCCTTTTCCCCCAATCTAAGATTTTAGATTAAATTTTTACTTTATGGGTTCTTAAAATTCATTTTCTTTTCTTTCATTCTTGACAAATTTTGAGGATAGTGCCATTCAATTACACTACTCCTTTCATAAAAGATTGTGCTTGATAGCAGAAATAGTGCTTGGTAATTTACTTTTAGAAAAATGTGTATTAATTTAATTTTATCAGAAAGATATGAATGGAGTGTTTAAAATAACCCACGCCTTGTATATCAAATTGTTATAGAATGTTCTGCATTTTGCATTTTTCTTAACGATACTGCTGATCGAGTAAATATCCATCATCAGCTTATTTGCGAAAATAGAATAAAAAAGAGTAGGAGCATATATTTAGTGTTTCCTTTTCCTGCCACCGTACCTTCGATTATTGAGTTTGGCCGAGAGAGGAAAAAAAGGCCTCTGAAGTAATCTTTAAAAAGAAATGAACTTGCCTCATCGTGACATAAACCTTGCTTTCCTTCATGTTTCGATTTTAGACTTGAGGACGAGGAATGCCCTGAATTAATGAATGTACTAATGTCAGTTTTTTAATTGTTTTAAATTTTTTTTTTCATTCTATTTGTTGTTTTATTGTATTGTTACAAACGTGAAGTTAAAGAAATTTTATTTTGAAATTTTGTATTGACAAAGCATGCTGCCTCAGTTTTTTCTGAAAAACAATTCTTTTCAATAATTAAAATATGATTTCTAAATACTCTACCTGCCTCATTCTCATATTAATTTTATTTCCAACTGATATGCTATGTAATGTCTCTGTGTTCATTTGTTAAAAAGATCTGGACTAAGAATAATTGTTTGTACTCTTATTGTTTTCCATTAGTTTTATTTGCGTCTATAAGCTTGTATTTTTATTTTCTTCAACCAGACCAATCGTCTCTAAAGGAAATTATCTTCTTCAACAAAAATAAGCTTCTTTAATAAAATTCAATAGTTATTTTTACCATCATATTTTTTTCACACTAATATGTAACTATAGTTATGATTAGGAATAAATAAAATTAGTTAAATATTTTATTTTGCTTTTCTTTAGAGAGTTAATAAAGTTTAGACGTCAATAACAAACTTTAAGCTTGGTGAACAAGTATTGGCTGAATTAATGCATTAATTGTAAAGATTATTTCCTCCATGTGTACCATACTCATCTTTATTAATTTAAAATTTTTCATAATAGTATGGAGCTGTACTTAACGTCAAGCTTAAGCAAAGAAGCTTAACGTCAGAAATGCTAAATTTAGTCTTCATGAAATAACTTTTTAATCTTGTCTAACTGTAAGACCAATTTGTAAAGTTTACAATAAAGTTAAAAATAAAGAATAACACATAGGAAAATAAGGTTAAATTTTTGTAAGAAGTAAAATAATTAGTAAAAAATAAGTGAGGTTGCTAAAAAAATTGATATAATTTTTTAGCTAACAAACAGAAAACAAAGGAAAGCCCTCTTAATATTAAAAGCTTTAAAGAAAAATTATAAAAAAATATGAGTGCTTTTAAAATAATATTTAATGTTAATATATTAAGGATTTTATGTATNTTACACTACCATGTCTGTTTACACAATTAGTTGTATGAAAAATATTTATTTATTTAACTGAATAATTGTCTAATTAGGTTTATAGTCCAAATCAAGTAGAATTTTAACTTCTTATGTAGAATTATTCGGATTCTTTAATTTCTGAGCTTTATAATGCCATAACTAATATCACATCCAGTGATCGACGTGACAAACTTAGCAATAAACCTTGCATTCTTTATGTGCTATTTTTTTTTAAACAATTAACTCTTTTTTAATAATATTTAAGTTATATAAAAAATATCTTTTTCCTGAATCTGTAAAATAAATAAGGATTATAGTTACAGGAATTACTATTTTGATCATGTCTAGCCAAAAATGTATGAGCTAAAAATAAATTTTTTGTTAAAAAAAAAATTATGAAAAATATCTAAATAGTGCAGAAAAAACATGCATTTGATTATTTTCAAGAAGTAAATTTTTTTCCTTCAAATTTTCAAATGACACCGAATTTTGAAAATGACCCAGTGTTGTTGTGGCAAACATTTTTAACCGGAAGGCTGATCATTGCAACATGCAGAAGAAAGGTGCAATATAAAATTATACAAGATAATTTTTAATAAAAAAAAATAATAAACTTATCTATAATTATCAAAGTTATTTTTTCCACTTAAGTTTCTTTATTTTGATGTAGCTTCCATATTTTTTCTCTCCTCTCTATTTACCTAAAGAAATACTTTTATTTTTATTTATTTATTTTTTCCTTCTTAAAAATCAGTTAACAATATATAGAAGGTTACAGGTTTACAAATTATTATTAACATGCTTATAAAGTATTATGAATTATTATATTATAAATTATTATATATTATTATATTATATATGTATATTATAGACATAATAGGTTTATATTGTTTATAGAGTACTGAATTTAAATCACTTTTAAAAACTATTGATTTATGCCAAAAATATTTTTTATACAGTATAATTTATTATTATACTCTTAAAGTTAGGATTTTTTTAAAGTTTTATTTCATTGATATTGAAGGTTTTATCCAGAGTAAGATATGTATGTTTGTAAATTATTATTTGATGTTCAATAGAGAGATAATAATTTAAAAAATTGGACTAAATGAGAAAAAAAGTGGAAAGAATTGTAATTTTCCATAAGATGCAACTTGTGGTTTAATTAATATATTTCAATTATACCCATTTATATTTATTTAAATACTTGTACTGTCAAAAATAATTATATATTTGTTTGTGTACATAAATAATGTAGTACTTGTTTTGAGGTGAATAGTTGAGACTATTTTTTTTTATGTTTCCTGATCTAAGTTATTCTTCATCTGATATCTAACTCAAAAATTAGGTCTTGGTGTTTACTAATTCATGAGGGTGTTGAGCTTACATAAAATTGACTGCAATCATATTTATACAGTGATTAATTTTGAAAATTAAATAACAAATGAAGCCATTTTACAAAGGATTATCTGAAAAATAAGTTTCCTATGATCCATAAAAAACCATATTTTCTTCAAAAGCTTTATTGCAAAAGATACAGCTAAATTTCTGAAACTTCTCAACATAAGAACCACTGGAATTGTCCTGCAGTTGGAATTAGTGCTTCACGATAGATTTCGAAAAAAATAGTGTAGCAACTATTTTCTTTTTATTGCTTATGCAATCAACGCTAAAATAGAATTTTAAAAAATTATAAATAAATAAACAAAACTAATAAAATTTAATTTATTTTTGAAAAACAAAATGTTTACAGTCAAACAAAAATGACATATACTTAAAAAATCTGTTTTCTTTTTTGTTGTTGTTTTTTTGTCACTTGCTTAGATTTTCTTTGGAACAGCAGTATAGTGAGATAAGACATATAGTCCAGTAGCACTATTGTCTGCTGTCTGATAATAAAGCCAGCGTGTCACAACAGTCTGCACGCCTTACCTGTGGAAAAGTAATGCTTGTATGCAAAGGCGAATTCTTGCTGAGAGCTGATTAACCATTCCTATAGTTCAGATCTTGCTCCCACTGACTTCTATCTGTTCTTGCACATATAGAAACTCCTATTCTAACATCGCTTTTTGACAAATGTGACTCACTGGCTCCATTCTAAGTGGACTCATAACACATCTCGATAGCTCAGATCTTATTTCAGTAATCATATGCAGTTTAGAAAATCTATAAAGGCTATTTATTTTCTCAACGCAACTGAGCTCACACCAATACAGCAGTTCTCGCTAAAGGCTCGTTAGAAGCATAACAATGAACTAAATCGTTCTTTTGCTACCTTCTAATTATAAATACATTATACTTAGTACTGAAAGAAAACACAAATAATTAAGATCAAAAGGGTAAAACTTCTTTGAAAAAAACGAGGTAAGAAGCAGCAGAAATTTCAGAAAAAAGTATCAATACAAAACAAATGAAATAAAATATATAAAAAAACTTAAAACTTTAAGTTTTTTATATATTTTTTCTTTTAACAGGGCGCAATTCTAGTCTTAACTGAGCAGCCCCAGTTAAGCATTCTATTAATTTATCTACGTATCTCCTTCTCCTGACCTTTTTCATTTCATTTTTAAACTTCTACTGCGCATTATTATAGGGGGCGTTGTTTTTCAGTTTTTAGTGTTTTCTTTTCCTCCACTTGCTTTTGAAGTTTATTCTTGACCTGTGAATGTGAGTTTTTAATTTTATGATGATTTTTATTGATTTTCTTTTCGTAATTTGTTTATTCTTTTGAATGTATCTTGTTTTTCCTGGACCTCTATACAAAACCATCGGGGTACTGAGGGAGATATTTTAAGCTTTTGCTTCTCCCTCAAATAGAAATGGTTTTGTTTTTAATGGCTACCGGGGCCGGTACCCCCTGAAGACGTCGGCTTCGGTGGTCATATTTTTATTTTATTTCATTTGTTTTGTACATTATACTTAGTACATACGCTAGATGGCATTGGAGTGGCTCCGAATAATCAGATGGCAGACTCCAATTAAATTGGACTATGAAAACTTATTCTGCTATTTGACAAATTTTAGGATTTCAGCAGCTCTTAACATTAAAATGTGTCTAACATGTCGCTGTATATTTTGTGATAAATCTTCACAAATAATTATATTTTGTTTCTTTTTCTGGACAATAGGAAAAAACTTTCAATTTTAATTGCACTAGTGTTTGCATTATTAAAACTTTATTAGAGCTCTGATTGATAAATGTAAAAAAATTCGATATTTTTTAATCATTATTTATACCAAACTTGGTAGAAAATGTAGAATATATAGTATAATTTTTAACTTTTATTGTACAATTTATTATGCTGATATTTGTTAAACACTTGTGCTCGTCAACTATGAAAGCTTTTTTACCGAACTTATATGCTTAGTCAAATTTTTACTTTACAGAGGTACTTGGTCATCTGGATTAGATCGCAAAGGTGAGGCTAAAACTGGTGCTGACACTACTGCTTCTGGTCCTTTGTACCAGATGAGGCCTTATCCAAGTCCTGGAGCAGTTTTACGCTTGAATGCCGAAATAAAAAATAAAGATGCTTCAGATGATGAAGAAGATTAACTGTAATTATTCATTGCATTATTTTATATTGTACATAGTACCTCAGACTTTGTAATGATGCTGCTGTTCATTAAATCCTTTTGTCACCTTATCTTGATAATTATTATTATTACAATCACTTTAATTGTAGTATTTATTTACAGTGATGGAAGACTACTTAAACAGCTTCTGCAACTTTTATTTTTCATAATGAAATTAATATGGAAGTACCAGAAAAAATAATATTTAGGTTTAGAACAAAATTAGTTTTTTAATAATTTCCAAGTTCAAAAATATTTCTGACGCAAATATCCTAGGTTATGTAAGTTTTAGTACATTTTTAATTATCTCCATTTAAACAACCCGTTCATGCAATTCCAACGCTACATGTAACCAATAAGGTAGACAGTTTCGTTGTATTGGATAAAGAATAAAGTTTATTGGTTCTGAATTAAAGTAGATTTTAATTAAAAAGCAGCAGTTATCAATTTGTTTTGGCGATGAAACTCTAAATGATCAACCTTTTTTTTGGAGGAGGGGGGAACCCTCAATTTATAAAGTTACTATCTATAAATATACTAACCAAAAAAAAAAAAAAACTAATCATTTTTTAAATATTTGATGTGAAAAATATAAAATTATGAATTTCTTCTTGGTGGATTTATTTCTTTCCTTTGAAATATTAAATAAATTATGGATTATTGATTGGATATAAATATGATTAATACTAGTTAAAGAAAATCTAAACTTTCAAAACTCCCCGTGAACCTTTCCCAGAACATTTAGGGTTCCGCAGAACATGATCTATGATAGAGCATTTGATCAGGAATGTCTCAAGGCAACCTATTTTTAATTTTAGAAGAATTGTATGCAATTTTGACTTTCTAGTATTTTGTAAGTTTTTAAATTCTGGTTTAAAAATTGAGAAATTTTTAGAACATCCATGCAGAACCTGAGACATAAAAATTTAAAAAAAAATTGAATTACATGGAGAAACAGATATGTTTGTTATGGAAACGTACATTTTGTATCTAATTACGTAACATAATTAATAGTTAACACTAATTATAACATGTTTGAGGTTATCATTTTGAAGGTATTAAGATCAGACTCCGGTTGCGAAAATACGTTTATTAAAACAAAAGTTGTTCAGAGTAATTTTTTCTTGCTGTTTGAGGCTTGCTTGTCTTGAGGCACCTCCAGGCAAAATACGATTGAGCAAAATCGGTTGAATAGTTCATGAGAAAATGAATTTTCAAAAATTTCAGGTATTTTAAATTTGATTTCTCAGGAAGTATTCGACCGATTTTACACAAATTTTATATTTTGCCTTGTATTCTTTAAAATGATGCCGAAAAATTTTATTCTTTAAAATGATGCAGAAAACTGTGTACCTTACTATTCAAAAAAATTTCTTTTGGCCATTATTAAATAAAATAATGAATATTTACTAAAAGTTATATTTTGCATGGAATTATTTTTGGATAAACGCATTTTACAATTGTGTAAAAAATTTTTTTCAATTTGATTAAAAAGTTTTCGAGATATAACGAAAAACCTAAAAAGAAAAATTAACATTAAAGGGTCCAAACTTTGGAGTACTTTTCGGGCCAAACTATTGAGACCATATTTCCCAGATTGCGGATACCCGCTATATTTAGGTCGTCAGAAATCGTAAAGCGTCGGTAAAAAAGGTATGTTAATTCAGAGAAAGTACGTTTTTATGTCTGATTTCGTAACTTAAAATATCGTCTGCACAAATTAATTAGCATATTTGAGGTCACCCCTTCGAACCATTAATATTGAGCCTTAGTATAAGAAGATCCGATCATAAGATCAAAAATTATTCAGATTGTTTCGATTTTTTTTCCGCACTGTACCTTTATTAGTTAGAGAGGAACTTATTATTTCAGACTCTTTAAACACCCGCAAAAAAACTTGAAATTAATTAATTGAAACTTAAATTTTTGTATTTTAGATAAATGAGGTTATTCTTTCCCAGAGGAGATATAAAACATATGTCCTTAGCTGCTATTCTTAATTTAAAAAAAAGAATTTTGATTCCCAACGTTTTTATTATATCTCTTTCGTTTCTGTGTCCGCGGAGTCTTTCGGCCATTCTCAGATTAGACCTCAAATTATTGCTGCAGGGCAAAATTCACCACAATATTTTCGACAATGGACGTTTATTGTCTATCAGAATTCTGACTTAGTTAAAAATTGTCCTATTAGGTAGAAAAATTTTTCTTTATTGCTAAAAAGATTTGTCCTATCAGCTAAGAAAATTATCCTATTAGCTAAAAAAAACTGTACTATTAGATAAATAAAAAAATTATTTTACTGTACCGGATTATAAGAGAAATCTCAATAGCTACTTGGCCGTTACAACTAGAATTTATAGCTACATTATCGTCAGCACGTATTAATTAGCATACTTGAGATTGAGTCCAGAACGTAAAGATTCGATTGTTAGAGTAAAAGTTATTCAGGGTGTTCTATTTTTTTGCGCACTGTACATCTCAAAAAGACTGAAATCTATGTCATCAGATTTATTAACACCTCTGCTTGTTTTTGATACCATGAGTTTGTATTTGAAGTAGAGGATATAGAGATGACTAAGCTGACGTCATTTCTCTTACTTGATCGCTGAAAATACATTAATGATCAATGAGTTACAGATTGCAACGAATAGGAATACGTTTCTATACGATAGGAATATGAATCGTCCTATAGGAATGGTGAAGAGTATTCACCTTAAAATGAGGTTGACCGGGTTCGAATCCCAGCGATGACTGGTCTATGTGAATTCTGCACCCAGTTCGCACCTATCATAGCGCTGATGTAAGATATAATACTCAGTGGTAGACGGATAATGGGTTAAAATCTTCTTCCCTCCAGGCTAACTGTGGGTGGTTTCTCTCTCCATGCAACGCAAATGTGGGTTAGTTTCATCAAAAAGTCCTCTACAAACGCAAATTTCTCCCAATACTTTTTGAACCAGGAATCCCCTTGTCTTCTGGGTTGGGTACAAAATTACAAGACTGCGGAGTTGATTATTAGTAGTCGTAAATCTAAAATTGGATCGGCTGTTTAACAGCGATTATAAAATAAAATAGAAATGGTGGAGCCGTAGTAATTCTCGGGATATAGCTCTCGTCTTCCAATGAGCCGCCCTGGGTTCGAATCCCAGCGATGGCTGGCCGATATGAATTCCGCACCTGGCGTAAAATATCTTCAGTGGTAGAGGTGAAATATCCTCAGTCGTAGACGGATCATGGGTTAGAGCCTCCTTGCCGTTTGGCTAACCATGGGAGGTATAAGTGTTTTTTAGTCTCGATGTAACGCAAATGCGGGATCGTTCCATCAAAAGATCCTCCACAAAGGCAAATTTCTCCCAATTTTTGATCCACGAGCTCCTTTGTTTTTTTGGTTGGGTTCAAACTTACAAGGCTACGGAGTTGAGCATTGGTAGTCGTAAACGCTAAATTGAGTCGACTGCTCAACGACGGTTATAAAAAATAAAACAGAAATGGCGAGTTCTTTTATTTTCGGCATTGTGTTCAAAATTACAAGGCTGCAAAGTTGAAAATTGGTAGTCGTAAATTTAAAATTGGGTAATCTGTTCAACAACGGTTATAAAGAAAATTAAGAATAGTGCAAATGACAATTGAATGATTTATTCCACTCAAGCTATATAGTTCGCCTTCTGTTTTGGACGTTTTCTATAAAAAAAACTATTCTTGTAATTAAACCCAAATCTCTTTAATGAACAAGTGAATGATGTTTCAAGTTTAAGTTCGCTTCACTGGATTGGAAAAGTCAACAGTTCTGTTCGCTGAATTGGAAAAGTCAACAATGAGGACCGTTGAACGAGTATCTAATTTGCACCAGATTATACACGGTTAGAAATTTCTCTGAAAGAATTGATAAATAACAATCTATGTAATTTTTATTTTTCCATATTCAAACAAACAGTCAAATATCCATACGCAAGATTCTATTCAAGCTGTTAACTGTGATAAAAAACCGTTTTCTCCTAATGCGGTTAAAGAAACAGAATTTTTCTCACCAACTAGAACCACCTAATGAAGTCACTTATTTCCTTGCAGATCGTTACGTACAATAGCCGCGAGCTCTATAGTTTGTCTAAAGTAAGAACTCCCTTAGCCATTCGTCTGGACCCGTGGCGGTGACTATGGTAACGGGGTATAACTATTTCAAGTAGGGGTGTGAGGTCACTGTTTAAGACAAGTTTTGACTCGGATCGATGATAGAAAGGTAATCTCTTTCTCTGGTCTATCGTGTTAGCCCAATTAGCCCTACAATGAAGAGAAACTACCCCTTCCTGAAGTGCGCTATTCTTGTTTTCTTAACCGCAGATGGCATCAGACGTTGTGGCGGGGAGAGTTCTTACCGTAGACAATCTTTAATCTGGCAATCTCATGACAGACTGAGCGGTGGTTCGTGACCCAGCGTTGGCATTACAATATTTCCTTCAACACATAAAGAGTTTACACTGCCCTTCAATCCCCACTTTGTGATTCCCAATTCTGTTAGAATACGATACTTTCATTCACTCATAGATAGCAGCATCATAAAGCTGCTTAACTATCTCCAATGTCCAGTTAAATTTCTTTTTTACGGTTTTGAAACTGTGCTAGTTGTAACTGGTCAAAAAACCATATAGTTTTGTATTCGTGCTTTTTCAACCATACTAGTTGTAAACGGTTTCAAAGCAGTAATGGTAAAAATGTTCTTTACCGCAAACTTTACAGCTTATTGAATGGACAGACTGGTTGTTTCTACCATAATTTTAAAATCGAAATTTTAACAGTGTTAGCATTTTGTTCTACATTGCATTTTTCAGTTCGTACATTCTGTTATGCTTTTGTTCACCAAAAGTGCTTTAAACGACATTTGTTAAAATTATGAAAATTGTTCGCATTTTTCGTAGTAGTAGTAGTTCATTTACGTCGCACTAGAGCTGCACCATGGGCTATTGGCGACGGTCTGGGGAACATCCCTGAGAATGATCCGAAGACATACCATCACAATTTTGATCCTCTGCTGAGGGGATGGCACTCCCGCTTCGGTAGCCCGACGACCTGCACTCGAAGTCGAGCATTTTACGGTAGAACAGTTTAACGAGGACAAATACCGCACACCCTCGGTACCTACTCAGACTGATCCAAGTGGTCACCCACCTGCACACTGACCGCAGTCAGTGATGCTTGACTTCGGTGATCTGCTGGGAACCGTGTCTTAACGATCAGTCCACTGCGGGACCACATTATTAGTGAAAATAGAATGTAGCAAGAATTTTAGTGCGATTAGAATCCTTAGCACAGAAATTTCATGCACTTATCTATACAAATCAAGTATATACTCTTCAGTGTTTTTCAGATTGCATTGAATGAGATAAACCACAAGTTTACTGAATAAATAGTTTAGGCACTATAAGGGTTTAATTCATATAAAATACAATTCGAAATTAATAATTTTTATTTAAAAAAAAATCTTAACTTTTGAAATGTTAATTCCATTGACTCACTTTATGTCCCATTCGATAAAGCTCAAAAAATACTTAGCAAACAATACTGCCAGATGCATTAATATGCAAAAGTACAAAATTGTACATTTTGTACTTTGACTCTTTATAACTTCTAAATTATTTCGAATATCGTTACATGCTTCATCTAAAACTGATTGGTTACTTACAACTCGAGAAAAAGTGAACTGATTAATTCTAACCATATGATTTATAACAAATTCAATAGGGTGCTTATACTTCAAGAAGAAGATCACAGATGCCCCACATATATGACCTATTACGTAAGCACCAGCTGATCGCTTATAAGCAAGATGGCGTGTTAGAGTTGAGCTAAATTTCTCCACGTAAATTATGCTAATTAACGTGAGGTTAATTAATTCCAGCGCTGTATCGCTCATCAAAACTGCTGAAATATAATTTTTTCTCGTCTACGTCTTGGGTTTATTATTTGTTTATATATTCTATGGTAAACGTGATACATTTTTGTTTTGTATACCTGGCAACTTCGATGCATAATTAGTTTGTTTATGTTCTACATCGCTTCGAGCTTGTCTTGGTGTTAAGTAAGAAATATATAGTGAAAGAATCATTGTGAAAGAATATAGAATGTGTCACTTGCGAGAATTGATACTTCACAGGATAGGTTTACTTGAATTAGAATGGAAAAACAGTTGCTAACGAAAAACAATGCCACTTTTCAACAACCAATAAGGATCGAGATACCCACACTACGTCACTTGCAGGCATCCTATTGCATACCTGTAAGCGACGTCGCATGTGTGTGTCGATGTTGATTGGTTTCTGAATCGATAAACGCAAAGATTTACTTACAATGCCCTTGCTGGTATCTACGGTACTTGCCTTTTCTGAAAAACTTTTATAATTTACAAACAATTCAAGAATCTATATCTAAAACTAGGAAAAAGCTTATATTTTGAATTTTTTTTTGAAGAAATTAATAACTTCTATTTAATAGTTAAATGACTTGGTTTAGTGTAATGCCTCTTTAACCATCATACGTACACCTTTAAGTTTTTTTAAACCTTTTATTTGCCTAATGTTCAAAGTTAATATTTTACCCAATATTGTAATTTATGGGAAATAATTTTTAAGAATATATAGTTCTACTAGTTTAATTCGTGTCGTTATGCAGAAGTAAAAAATAAATGTCGTTACTCATTAAAAAATAAAGATTGTTAAGTTTTGCTAAAGTTTTTCTCTTAATAAAGGGTTTGTTGCACTTCTTCAGTTAAAAATCAATCTTTTTGTGAACCCATAAATTGTTGATTCGTACAATATTTCAAAAGTTAATTATTATCACGAGCTAGGCATCACGAGAAAAAAAATAAATAACTAATATTTTAAAAGAAATTAATTTTAAAACAATTATTTTCTGTAACGTAACTATGTCGTAAGGTTTTCATCAAGTTGATAGATACCTATATTTACGGTAAGTTATACATTAAATATATTTATATCTCTGCAGTTTTATCTAACTTTTTAATTTCCATCTACGAATAATATTTTACAATATTGTATTGCATATTAATCTTGACAACATAGTGCTAATTTGAAAGATTCATCATTATTTATTTTGCTTCATACTATTAAATTACCACATTCATTTAAATTTCACTTTTCTTTTTCTATTTTCTTTTAACAAAATAGGACAATTTTTAATAGTTGAAAAATAATGAGATCTACATTTTCAGTCGTTTTGAGCTTATAGATTTTACGACTTGCATTTTTGAGGTTAGGAAACTTGGCAACCATTTTGGTTTTTTGTTAGATGACATGGCTATAAACAACTATGTTTATTAAAACAGCTCATCATAATTAAACCAACTTATGATGAGCTTAAGGAAAAAGCTTCTTAAGTAAACAACTTAAAGTTAACCAATATAGTCGCCAAATTTCCAAAATTGAAAAAGAGACTATAAAATCTATTACCAGAGATTTAGGTGGAAAAAATATTTACCGAAACTTGTAAATATTGACCGAAACTAACTTTATTGCCTTAGTTGTTTCCTATTGAACTCAGTTTAGTTTAAAACATGTAAATAATATATGAACAAATACAGGATTTTTTTAAATTCAATTCATGGTAAACAATTACAATTGGAGCCCGATTTTTAATGGTTTTACAGAAAATAATAAAAACAGCATAAACATGAGATTTTCTAACTCTTGAGAAATCGAGATAGAAATAATCGGAAAAATAGAAGATTTTATAACAGATTTTATATGTTCTCTGACAATTCAAGGGACATTAAATTGGAACTCAAGAAAAAAAAGTACCTCTGAAATCACATGATTATGTATAATAACATGGTTGTGCGTGGTGTGTTATTCCTTATAACTTTAAAAGCTTGAATTCTTACAACAAACACCTTCGATGAGCGTGAACGTTTCACTAGCTCCCCAATATGTCGTCAAAAAAAATGGTATGCTAAGACCTCACCTTAGGCAGAAGCCCAAAGATAAACAACACGAGGAAAGAAAAATATATAGTACAATATTTTTGTTTTTTTACGAATAAGCTCTTATGTTATAAGCATATATATTTCTTTTGTTATAAGTACACTGATTTTCTGATGAGTCCCCCAGCACATATAAGTTTATGCATACATATTTAATGATTTGTTTTAAACAAATAGCTAAGAAAAGTAACCATTGCTCTTTTTAAATATCGAATAGTAATTTAAAGAAGGTAACTTATACTTTTATAATGGGAGTGCAAATCAGTTCGGTCTGTTTTCAAAAGGTGGCTCGGGCTGTTACGAATGTTTCATAGTGACAGCTGGTTTCGGTGGTTTCAGAGAGGTTAGATATCTCTCAATAATATTCAGTTTATAGCGCTTTGAGTTTCATACAAAAACAATGTTTTTTTTCTTTGTTGAATATGTCAAATTGTGGTAACTAAGCAGAATTTGCGGGTAGTTTTATGTTTCTGCTTTAATTGGAAGAAAAGTGCAGCTGAAGCGCATCGAATGCTTGTAGAAGTTTATGGTCACAATGCTCCAAATGATAAATCATGTAGGGAATGGTTTCGACGTTTCAAAAATGGTGAATGAAAGTTGCTACAATCTGGTGATTCCATTACGGACGATCAGTATAGGCTACAACTGATTCGTTTGAGCTGTGCATTACGAGAAAAACGGCCGGAATACGAGCAAAGACATGACAAGGTTATTCTTGTGCATAATAACGGTCGGCCTCTTGTCCCAAAAGTCGTAAAAAATTATTCGGAAACACTGAAATGGGAAATTTCACCGCACCCACCGTATTCGCCGGACATTGCTCCTTCTGATTACTGTTTTTTCTGATGGATGCAACATGATTTGGCAGATCACCCGTTCACTTCTTTCGCAGAAATCGAGAATTGGCTCCTAACTTGGATCGCTTCAAAAGACGAAACATTTTTTCGAGATGAAATTCGATAATTGCCTGACAGGAGGAAAAAGTAGTAGCGAGCGATGGACAATACTTTGATTAATCTGTTCATTCATTTTGTTCTGAAATAAATGCATTTTTGACCACAAAGAAACATGGACCGAACTTATTTGTACTCCCAATAATTAAAAAAAAAATTTCAAATATTCATATTTTTATGTACTTTATTTTATAAAACTACAATTTATAAATATTTATTTGCGATATTTGTTACAAATAATATTAGTTTATAAAATAAACCGTTCATTTTCAGCTGGCAAACAATTATATAGTTAGAGATAAACATATGCTGATATTAAGTGATAATTTGCTTAATTTTATTGAAAAATTCCAATTCTGTTTAATATCAGGAAATGGCTATTTTTATTATTTCGAGAAAATATTCAGTCAAATTAGTCATTCACTCAAATTATTTATTTGCAAAATTTTTTTATTTTCATACGACATTCTCTAATTTCAGGGTGTTGATAGTTTCATACATGTAAACATTTGAATATTTTCAATGATTTCTTTTTCAGTAAAATAAACTTATAATGTATTATTTTATTAAATTTTTTTAAAAATAGTTTTAGCTCAGACAACGTTGAAAAAAGTGCAAAAAGTAAAGAAAAACAATAGATTTATTCTCTAAACCCAAAATCAGAGTAGAGAGATAATTTAAAGTACATTCATTTGTTGATCAATGTTCGAACTACAAATTCTATCACTAAAATGATATTAATACTAAATATTTGCATATTCAGATTTAAGAGCACAATGATAACAAGCTTAATAGAGCAAATGTACGAGCTTATTTTAATGACAAATACCATTATCCCTCATTAAATTTAACATTACAATGCTTTTTAGCATATTTTGCCATTGTAACTGCCGACTTCGACTGCACATCGAAATTAAAGCAAAAAAGGTGCGAGTGGCAGTAAGCGCACCTGATTAGTGGTAACACACTACAAGTAGTGAAACTACTGTAGTCGCTATTGTAGTGTAGCGTGCTATTTTTTTTAAAAAAAAGTAGTGTAGAGAGTAGTGCGATGCAGAATAAAATTTAAAAAAACAGCAGTTTGTAGTCCTGGCAACTACATTTTACGTTAGTTTAGTATATGAACAGGGTTCCTTGGGGTATTCATCCACTTTTCCTTCGAGTTTAATATCTTCCTTACCTGTACCATGCATGATTCTTTATCGCCTTACGAGATCATCGCCAACAAAACCAATTATTTTTATTTTTTGAAATGCCGGATGCTATTTAGGCAAAGTATGAAATAATCGTCCTGATGTTTTTTCTATTAGAATTAAAGGAAGTTTTTTCTATTTAGAATTAAAAATATTTGTATTTTCTTTTAGTATCGTCCTGATGAGGTTATTATGTAAATGATGTGCATGTTACTGTGAATGACCGAAATCGGTGGTTGTTGACTTTCACCGGTGAATGTTGATAATCAAATTAGTAGCTTTGGTGAATGTCCGAAATATTTATTACATCCGATTTGATATTAATTTATACGTGGATATAATTACATTTATTCGATATTTTAATACTTACTGACGATAGATTAGAAGAAACATCAGTGTTTGGAGTATCGGGCAAATATTTAACGGGCAATGGCACTGAACCTTAAAAAAACATCAGTGTAGGGTATACCGGGCAATGGCACTTGACCTTAAAAAAAACATCAGTGTAGGATATACCGGGCAATGGCACTTAACCAGACCTAGTATGACTAGACCTTTGGTAAATGTCTGAAATATATACTAGGTCTAGTGCCACTTTTGCTATAGCTTAAATATTTAAAAAAAATTAAACAAAGCGTTTGAATCAATTTTAAACTGATAAAGAAATTATTGCTTTAAAATTAAAAAAATAATAATAAAAACTGCTCCAGATAAGATTAATTAATGTAGTTGCTTTATACAGCGCATGTGCGGAAAAAAATTTAAAAAAAAACTATCCACGTGCATCTAAAAGTGAATGAATATCCAAAGACACCTATGAACAGGGTTCTAACACAACTAATTTTTCGAATTTGATATTTACAAATCTTTGAGGGTCTGTCAAAGAACGCAAGTTTAAATGCTTCTGTGACTGTGAGTTCACAAGAATTGCGTTTTTAGAGTTGGGCATAACTAATATTTAAGCTAACCATTATGAATAATAGATAATTTATCTCTTTGGTCACACTTTCACATGCAAATGTAGACTCGTAAAGCATAAATGATATTTCAAAGCAAGGAAACATATTTTTAATGTGCTTAATTTCTTAGAGGAAATAAAAGAGCATTAAACACTTAACGAAATTACAAATATTTGATAATTTTCTAGCATTTCTTAAATTAAATATTCGCTGTCAAGAAGGGCATAAAAAGTTGAATGATCAAATTCGAACAGAAATATTTTGGAATAACAAACTGGCTCATGTAAACATGAATAAATATTTCTAAATAATTCTTCACACTTAATATAAGACAACTTTTTATTCAAAAGCATTTTGAACATTAATTTCTCCAGCAATGTAAATTATGAAGGTATAAATTAGTTTCTACAGCGAACTTCGTTTCCTTAAAGTGGTGTGAAGTAGTCACTGCAATTCCAAAGTAGTAACTATAGATTTACAAAGAAAGTGGTTGTAGTTAACTGAAAAAATAATGTAGTTTTTCCGACCACTGCAGAATCAGCATTCGGATTAGATTTAATTGGATACCTGCAAGCGACGTCACGCTTGTTTATCGAATCTCATTGGTTTCTATAGTTTGGCATAAGCAAATGCCACAATTTACTCATGCGTAAAGTCGCTTGTAGGTATCCAATTCTGTGTTCAACTCAATTCTCGGTAAATTTAGGGTATTTTTCAAAGCCATGGAAAAAAAAAACTTCTTTAATAATAGCTTACTAGGTTGAGATGACTGGGCTTCAAAATAAGCAAATAGTTTCAATTAAAAAAATTGCAGAACTTTTTACGAAATCGCCAACTAGGTGACAGCCCAGAGGGAATCATTAAAATCATTGAAAAATTTTAAACTTTTCAAGTCCATCGGCATCACAGGAATCCAATTTTTGACGGGGATGAAATTAAAATAGACATTTACACTAGTTTTCTTAATTTCACTCATAACAAAATAAATATTTTAAATCTGCTAAACATGTGTAAAAAGATTAATCTCTTTCTTGTTTTTGCTTTCAATGAATTTAAACCGATAACAATTGATGAAAATATTTACTGTCTATCAGAAATGTTGAGGGCGACTTTTAGAGAGTTTTAATTATTACGGGGTACATAAATCCACCATCCCCTCAATAACAATGCCAATCCATGCAACGTTAGAACAAATTTTCAAATATTAAGAAATTAGATCACAAACTCTTTTTATCTATTCAAAACTAAAAATCTTTAGAATTAGAAGATATTGCATCTTGCAGAAATTGCATAAAAATCTTTAGAATTAGAAGAATTGAAGATGAACATCCTTTAACTTAAAAGGAAGCTGTACCACGGGATAAACTTTTCACGGCAAATTCTGTCTCACCAAAATGCAAACTAATTATAAGCTGATACTATTCAGCTTTATTCTCTAAATAACGAAACATTTGTCATTCTTCAGTACAACAAAATATCTGCACTCGAAGAGCTTTCTTTTCTTTTTTTTTAAATCGCATTTTTGTTTAAGTTGCAACATAGAATCGTGTAATCAAGTTGATGAAATTCGTGGTGACTCAGGGGATAGAGAGTTCGTCTTCCAATTAGGTGACCCAGGTCCGAATCTCAGAGATGTTGGTGTATACGAATTCTGGTCCCTGCTCGCCCCCCGGCCACAATGTTGACTTAAAATATTCTTAGAGGTCGACGGATCATGAGTTAGGCAGCTCTCACTGACATGGTTTTCCTCTCCATGTAAAGCAGATGCGGTTTGGTTCTATCAAAAAGTCTTCCGCGATAGCTAGTTTCTCCTAATTCTTGATCTAGGAGTTCCCTTGTTTTCCGGGTTCGGTTCAAAACTAAGACATCTACCCATCTGTAATTATTTCATTTCCACAGATTATTTTTTTAAAACTGTTAAATCATACCTACCATTCGTACATAGTATTTACTTCCAAACACTATTACTGACGCCATTGATAGTGATGTTTTATTAATTGTGGTAATAGGTTTTACTGGCATTATGGTAATACTATACGAATATAAGTACTTAATATGGGTAATGCGGTAAGAGATTTTTATGATCCTCAAATCTAAATAGTACCAATTTCTTTTTTAAAAAAATTATTAATTGATGTATTCCTCTGTATTTAATTTCAGATAAATTTTAGGCACAATTAATATAATCAATTGTTACATCATCATTTTTGTTTTGAAAGAATTCTCACGATAATGAAGAGACAAAAATCAACTTATACTTTGCGGTCACCTGATGATTCGGCATCGAGACAAAATTTCGATTCTCAGTACGCAATGGCGACAATGACAGAAGGTCCATCGAACTGGGGAAGTGACTGGACCTACGCAGACTCTGATAAAATCAGCTATTTTTCTTCTGAAAACCAAAGCTTTGAGCCTCCTATGTACTATACATATCCGGACCCTTGGCAGCAGTTCAATTACTGTGAAGATCCCGCTAAAGCACCGGAGTTCATAGCGACGGCTTCAGACCTATACGAGGAATGCTCAGAAATTACCATACCTTTAGATTTCAGCGACATTGAATCGGTTGATGACGCTGATCCATACTCACGGAACAATTGCTGGAAGAATATGATGGAAAACTATGCAGATAATAACCCGAATTTACCGATACCGCAATCAGATCATGAGTATTCATTTTTGCCAAATTATCCCTGCGACCTAAATCTGATGCAATCGTACGATACGCAGTCTCGACTCTTTCTGACTAGTTTCAGATCTGTTTCCATCATGTTGCGACACCTAGTGAGCGTTGATGTAAGTCCAGAAGGGGCAATATATGTTCACAACATCCCTGGCCAAAGCATCACGGTAGTTAATGATTCCGGAGACAGGGCTTGCATTGTGCATCCGAACAGTCGTGTGCTCCAGGAAGGTCAAACTGTGAACATCATGACGCATCAAGCTCGCGTGGTCAAGATATGTCGTAGAGGAGTCATATTCAGAGCCAGTCCGAGCAGTATTGTCTACCTTGTGGACGAATCTGGTACTAAATCCACATCCGGGAAATTTCTGGACCTTTGCGAAGATTTCACTTCTGATGTGTTCTATGGATCGTTTTCTAAAGACTTCCACCTGCGATGCACTGATAGCGTGAGTATGCTTTCGAATGCCACGTATCAGCTACGTAAAAACGGGAACGATGTCTGGTGCGTCGGTGATACGCAAATAAAGCAGGATCAGTACGGAAATATCGAAGTCTCGCGAAATAAGGACAACGTTCTCGTCACTTTGTTTCCAACTGCGGGTGAAGTGTCAGTCCGAACACCTTTCTTCAAAGCAACGGTTGGCTGTTTCTCCAAACGATATCTTTATGTGCAAAAGGGCGATTGCCACGTTAGTTCTGGATTTTGTGGCATAACCGCACAGAAAGGCACGCAGAAAGCTGGATTGGATCGCAAAGGAAAAGTCGTGATTTTTTAGTTATTGAAACTCTACAGGCCTTAAAATTCTTTGTGTCAATCAGATTGATGTACCAATTTCAATTATTAGATTTATTATGGATCACGGTTATTCAAATTCTATGGGCGTTAATTGAATACGATTAAATTGAAAATTGTATATCAAATTATTAAAATAAAGAATTTAAAGCATTTAAGTTTTTGCTTTCATTCTTCAAGCTTTCTTTCTTTTTTGCAAATATATTTTTTAACAGACTTACAGCATTTCACTTTTATAAAATATTTTATACTTCATTAATCATTATTTTACTGCAAGAGTAGTGATAGTTCAGAAGTTATAATAATTTAATATAAATGTTTATAAGTAATATATGTTTGTATAAATATTCAGATGTTATAATGGTTTAATATAAAAACAGTATAAATTTTGACTTATACCCATTTACTCGTCAAGCATGACTATCTAAGCTAGTGAAGTACGGTTTCCTATAATTTTTTTTACGCTTAATCGAATGAGAATAAAATTAATTGGGTAAAAGTACTCGTTCGAAAGTTATAATAGTAATTATGTATTAAAAAATACATGCTTTGTACCTACACCCATGGCTGTATGAAGACAGACGAAATATTGAGTTTATAATAATTGTCCCATATATAACTAAAACCAGTTCGATCTAGAGAAAGTTGTAAGAGAATACAAGGGAATTTATGAGAGTTATATAAATGAAAAATACAGTTGGTGAGTGTAATTTTATAAAAGCATATTTAAAGACTATATTATTAAAGTGAATATAAGGAAGGCTCACCTAAATACCATATTATTAAAGTATAATATTACTATATATTATACGACTTAAATAATAGATTATTATGCATATCAATTCATTAGTCATTTTCATTCAATGACATTTTTTTAAAGCGAGACAAATATTTCTGAATTGTTTAATAAATTGTTTAAAATGATTCATTTTTATAATTTCATTTCATTTCTAAAATACAAACAACTTTGCCCTAATTTTCTTTTATCTTAAAATTCGAATTTAATTGCTTATTATAACACAGCCATTGAAGAACAGCAGAGAAAATATACTTTCCATTGTAATCTGTAATAATAACTAAGCTTTCGGGAATAACAGAAAAAAGTACATTTAAAAACGCCCGGAACTACCATTGAAAAACACCTCACTAACTGCTATATAAACTTTACGTTTGATTCAATTCAGAGCGTTGAACCCGAATTTAATGTAATTAAATATTTATTGTAGGGTAATAAGATATTTTCCTTGAAAATTAATTAAGATGCTAAGTTTAATTTGAATTTGACAAAAAGAAACTTTAAATTCTTTAGATATTTATATAAATATCAATCAACAATAGTTTATTATTGATAAGTTTAAAGCATTACGAAATTGAAAAAAGTATTTCAATTTAATACAATATTTAAAAAAGACATTAGTTGAAGAATTATTATTTTTATATTATTATTTATAGCAATAAAAGATAATTATTGCAATTTAAAACATTTTAAAAATTGCTTAAGGGTCCTAATCATTCTGTTAAACAGTATAAAGTGGGTAAAATTTTTCCGTAAACATTTAATTATTGGGTCAGTTCCCCGACACGAAGCTTTTGGAGGTCGCTTTTAACTGCTCTGACGATGCCGTTCGGAAACAAACTAAAAAGTTTAATAGTTTTAAGAGAAGAGTGGAGATATTCTTTCCTTCTCATTTCGTTACAAATAAACGACTTTATGTAGAAATCAAATGTTTTGAAAACAAACTTTTCATTTCAATATAAAATACTTTCCATGCTGCATCGACAATATTTTTGTCACTTTTTCATCAAAATTAAAATTTTTACTAAATATACAATCAGAAATTAAGAATTCGATTGGCACATTTAAAGTAGAAAAATCAAATCACATTCAGTAGAAATGTTTCCTAAATTTGCAAAAATCATGAATTTATTATTAATATTTAAGATTTTAGTATTTTTATTGCAAATTAATTTTTTGAAGGAATGATTTAAGATATTGATCAAAGAAGTATTATTAAGCAGAAAATAATGACCCCAAACTATTGACCGTTAAACTTTTGGTTAAATTAGAAATTTAAAGCGGGCTCCAAAAACTCCGGAACAGACTCAATCCTTATAAATTAAATAATTTTTTATAAAAAAAATATCTAATTTCATTCGAATAAATAAATTAATATAAACTATGGCTCAGCCACAGAATTGTTAAATTCATATAATTATGAATAATGAAAGATGTGCTTTTTCCCATTGAGCTTTTTTTGCTGTACTTAACTTAAATTGTCCTTTTAAATTGATTAATAATACTCAATCCTTATAAATTAAATAATTTTTTATAAAAAAAATATCTAATTTCATTTGAATAAATAAATTAATATAAACTATGGCTCAGCCACAGAATTGTTAATTTCATATAATTATGAATAATGAAAGATGTGCTTTTTCCCATTGTGCTTTTTTGCAGTACTTAACTTAAATTGTCCTTTTAAATTGATTAATAATTTTGATTTTATACTGGAAAAGGGATTTTGTTTAATTACTTTATTCGTTATGGAAATCTTTAATAAAAAAAATCTACTTGTAACTACTACTGAACAAATTTTAAAAAAAATTATTATTTGAGATTTGAGAATAATTTTTAATTCGATAATTTTGTCAGTAGTTAAATCATCAAAAGAAAAATTATTTTCGACGAATCAAATAAATTATCAAATGAAAAATTAATGACTTTCACCGACTGACTAATGACAAACATAAACCATTGTAATTGAAAAAATAAATTTATCTATTCATATATTATATAAATTTTCAAATATTGTTTGAAAAATTCTTTTATTTTTTGACAAAACCAATAAGTTTTAGCAACAGGAATGATTTAAAGATATCTCAGATATAAATAAATAAATAAATACTGGAGTGTTCTGTAATGCCGTTTTTCTTCTATTATAACAATGAACGACAGAGAAAACGACAGTCTGACGAAGTTTTACTACATAATTAGTTAATAAACAGCATTAGCTTCCTCTAGTCCCCTTTCACAATTAAATAATATCGAGAGCTGTGGTGGCTCAATGGATAGAGCGTTCGCCTTCAATGAGGTGACCCGGGTTCAAATCCCAGTGATGTTTGGTCGTTGACAATTCCGCACCCGGCTCGCATCGACCACAGTGCTGACGAAAAATATTATCAATGGTAGACAGATCATGGGTTAGAGTCCCCTTGACATGAGGCTAACCTTGGGAGACTTTCGTGGTTTTCTTCTCCATGTGACGTAAATGTTGGTTAGTTCCATCAAAAAGTACTCCACGAAGACAAATTTCTCGCAATACTTGATCCAGNGGAACAGACTCAATCCTTATAAATGAAATAATTTTTTTAAAAAAAATATCTAATTTCATTTGAATAAATAAATTGCAATAAACTATGGCTCAGTCACAGAATTATTAAATTCATATAATTATGAACGATGTGCTTTTTCCCATTTTGCTTTTTTCCAGTCTCCAGTACATTGTAATAATTATTTTGATTTTAAATTGGAAAAGTGATTTTGTTTAATTACTTAATTTGTTATAGAATTCTTCAAAAAAAAAATCCACTTGTAACTACTACTAAACCAGAATAAATGCAATAAATTATTTGAGAATAATTTTTAATTCGATAATTTAGTCAGTAGTTAAATCATCAAAAGAAAAATTATTTTCGACGAATCAAATAAATTATCAAATGAAAAATTAATGATTTTCACCGACTGACTAATGACAAACGTTAACTATTGTAATTGAAAAAATAAATTCATATATTCATATATTATATAAATTTTCAAAGATTGTTTGAAAAATTCTTTTATTTTTTGACGAAACCAATAAGTTTTAGCAGCAGGAATGATTAATGCCGTTTTTCTTTTATTATAACAATGAACGACAGAGAAAACGACAGTCTGACGATGTTTACATAATTAATTAATCAACAGCATTGGGCCCCTCTCGTCCCCTTTCACCATTAAATATTATCGAGAACTGTGGTGGCTCAATGGATGGAACGTTCGCCTTCAATGAGGTGACCCGGGTTCAAATCCCAGTGATGTCTGGTCGTTGAAAATTCCGCACCCGGCTCGCATCGACCACAGTGCTGACGAAAAATATTATCAATGGTAGACAGATCATGGGTTAGAGTCCCCTTGACATGAGGCTAACCTTGGGAGACTTTCGTGGTTTTCTTCTCCATGTGACGTAAATGTTGGTTAGTTCCATCATAAAGTACTCCACGAAGACAAATTTCTCGCAACACTTGATCCAGAAGTTCCCTTGTCTTCAGGATTGGGTTCAAAATTATAAGGCTACGGAATTGAGCATTGATAGTTGTAAATTCAATATTGGGTCGGCTATTCAACGACGGTTATAAAATAAATATTATCGATAGAAATGTTCTTAAAAATCTTGGTTTTAAGGAATGGGGCTCTTGGGGATTATTTTTTGGGGGAAGGGACTCTTTTCGTTATTTAAATCAAATATAAATAGAGGGGGAAAAAACTCATATTCCAAACTTTAGAAAAAAACGAGTTTAAAAACAGAGAGACCGAAAATTAAGGTTTCAGGAAAATTTTTTAGAAAAATATGGTTATTCGGAAGGTGTAGGTTAAGGGGCAAGCCTTCTTCTCAGGGGTTGAGAATAAATTGATGAAGGGAAAATGAAAACTCACCTGAGTGTTATTAGAAGGGTAAATTGGGTAAAAATTTAAGACAAGCGGAAAAAAACAGAAATGGAAAAGACCCAAAAAATTATGATTTTGGGGAAAGGTGTTGGAAAAATTATGGTTACTGGGGGGTGGGGGCGCAGGCAGTTCTACCTTTAATAATTTTTTTTTGTGGATTAGTAGATTTTAAAAAAGAATTTTATATTAATTTTTAATAAACCTTTATTAATTATTCTCCTTCATTTTTTTTCCTTGGAAAAATTGACAGATGCGTCATTACAATGTTATAGAGATATTCCGATTTATCATTTTTAGGTTGATTACCCTACAAGTACATTCTAGGCACAGAATTTGTCGAAAATTTTCTCCACTTTTCACGTATGCTATCAGAAATTATTTTATTTTAAATTAAAAAAAAGGCTATATGCAAAAAGACTGAATTTCCCTAACTTTTCTCGGAAAATTTTGGCAGTGAAACGTAGATCCATGTTCAACACTCAAAAGGAAACATATATGCTCAAGAAATAAAACCTCCAGCTAGTTTCCCAAGGTAATATCCTTTATTGCCTGGACTATAAGGCTAAAGGTGAAAAGACCACTTATTATTAACGTCAATAATGCTTGATTAATTCTGGTCATGGGAAATATTTGAAATAAAAAAAGAAGATATAAACTAAAGATGAAAATTAATGGAGAAATGGTACTAATTCGTATAATAGAAATTGTATTAATTCTTTTTGGATAAATGTAAAAAGTCGCCATACAATTATTGACGTCAATAATGCGTAATAAATTTTGGTTATAGGAAACATTCGGAAAAAAAAGAATAGCTATGCACTAAAGGTGCAAATGATACTTAAATTTGTTTATAGGCACTAATTTAAATTTAAAAAAAAAGCTCTATTGTATAAAATCCAAAAGAAATTGTGAAATAATTCTAATTCATTTAGAAGAAATGTAAAAAATCACCAAACCCATTTTGACAATAATGCTTTTCAATTAATTTTACTAATGGGAATTAGCTGAAATTAAAAATAATGAGCTTTGTACTGTATAGCAAATTTAATGAAGCAATGGTACTGAAGGTAATGTTTTTTATTAAACGACTATGTCAACTTTAATCTACCTAACGATACCTCATGATGGAATCAAGCTAACATGTCTTATATACAGCCGATCGGCCTGTGTAAAGGGCAGGGAACTGTCCTTGCATCAGAAAGGTTCTGGGTTCGAATCCCGGGCAAGGTATGGATGTTCTTTCCTTCTCTGTACTAATTGTCATCGCTGCGGGAGCGACGTTGGCCCACCTAATATGGTGCCTCTGAAAGAGAGGCCAACAAAATCGCCCTGTAAATGCCTGAATTGACGGATGTTAACACAGGTGGGCATTGGGAAAAAAAATATTTTATATACAAGTGATTTGGTATTCGATATTTATAGTGGTAGTTGCGCCACATTACTCCCCTTCCAGAATTTTATCTGGGATAGAATATGTCTTATCTGTGATAGATTTCTAGGAATAGATTCCACTAGTTGATTCATGCTGGGTTTTTTTTCTTTCTTTTTTTTCTTTTCTTTTATTTATTTTATTTTGCTCATTATATTTTTTCTTCGTCATTTTTTTTCTTCATTTTTTGTTTGCAGCAGTCCGTTCATTATTTTTGTTCTTCAAAATTGCTTATTATTCGGAAAACTCTATTTACTTAACCATTTTTTTTGGGGGGGGAGCAGTATATTTTTAAGCAAACCTTCGTTTATCAAAAGGTATATACTCTTGATTTGGTATTCAATATTTATAGTGGTAGTTAAGAATCATTACTAATTAATTCAGGTGAAAAATAAAAAAAATCTTCTTACCATTTTTGACGCCAATGATGCTCAAATGATTGTGGTAACAAGTTCTAAGTGAAATAACAAAAGAGTGAGCTACTTTTTAAAATGTTAATTTGAAGGCGAAATGATACTTATTCACTTAGGAGAAACGTAAAAAACTATTATTGAAGCCAATAATGCTTAATTATTCTTATTAATACGCACTACAAGTGATATGGTAATAGAGGTGCAGTTTTAATCTGTACCAAATATACTAAAGCAGTCCCAGAGTGTTTTATGAGTAATTTGGTACTTATTAAAACTGCACCTATACTGTGCGTTTTTATTATAAATACTGTGTATATAGGTTTACACTGGTCCCTCGGAAGAACAGGAGAAAATTGCTTGATTATGGTAAGCTTAAAATATCATGAGTTAGCCTCGAGCAAACAATATTATGAGAGATGCTGCAGAATATAGTTAATCTCCTTAACTTAAACTTTTTAAAGAACTAAAAAAGTGTTTTACTAAATCTAACTATGTAAAGTCACCGGGAAGAGCAACGAATAACAATAAACAAAAAAATATACAGAAATTACTTTAGCTTTTTGAATTGTGTCGATATTAATTTGCCGATTTCGTGCTTTATTTCATAGAGTTGTCCAGTTCTGAATATGATTTATCGATTCTTTTTTCTCCCACCCCGTACAAATAACGGGTATTCAGCTAATTATTAAATAAAGAATAATACTGGATAGTTCGAAAACTCGATCGTCAAACGATTAATTTTCAAAAGTTAAAGAATTTGGAATGAACTCCAAAAGCTCCATGCGGAACTGTAACTGACCCCATGTTTCAATCGAGTAAGTTTTTTTCTTTCCCGTTTGATGAAATGCCAATTTCTTGAAAAACTCAATTCTCACAGGGAATGTGGATAAATATATAGTATCTAATATTGATTTTATTGAGTGTATTATACATTTAGTGTGACTTGATAGATTTTATTATATTAGAATGTGAATAGTTGGAACGTTAGTTCTTGAGTTATTTTATGCCGAAGTTGAAGGCTTTTCTTTTCTTTTCGCAATGAAATTTAGTTTTGCGACAACTATTAGGAGTAGCTTTAATATCTTTTGCAGATGAACAGTAAGCTTTATTTTATTTTAATTTTTTTATTAATATTAAATTAACTAAATTAAACTGCAATTTTGTAATTTTTTCACGAACAAGTATCAATTCTACCTTGATATTTTATCACTTTATCGGTACTCCTTCCCACTAAGGGGTTGGACCAACACTGCTTAGAATAGAGAAGCCATCAGCACGGATTAATTTAGAAGTTCGACGTAACGAACATAAACTGCGCAAAGTAGGAAAAATAAGAAAGATACGAAAAATAAGAAAGATACTACGTTCGAGAAACTAAAGGAATCATCATAAGTATAACCACAGTTACCATAAACAAAAAATTTCTTGTTTATGCTTACCTGTCCTGAGGCATTCTCTCTTCCAGAAGGTATTGGGGTAGTCACTGTCTGGAAAAATTTAAAAAATATCATTAAAAGAACGAGGAAAAAATGTTTTAACCCTTTAACATAAAATTTTTATTATAAATATTTTTCACTATTTTGTATTAAATTAGATCAAAATAAGTAAAAACAATTTTACAGTTAACATTTTAGTAATTTATGGCAATGAAATACAGCATGAGACACCTGTGTCTTTTTTTGCGTTGAAAGTAAAATTTACCAACCACGTCTTCTGTCGAAACAATAATTTTTCAAATTTGTACTATTTTCATAGGATTTCAGAGTCTTAAACAATTTTTCTTGGAAGACTTATTTAATTGATTTCTTTATATATCTATAATAAAAAAAAATTTGTTGATTTACATTGAATCGTTTCGTACATTATCATTGACAAAAAATTCCTACGATATATTCATTAATAAAGAAGATACTTGTATTTGGTTCTCAGAGACAAAAAATTAATAAAAACACTATCGTAATTACCAGTAAATTATTTATTTATCCCTGATTTAAAGGTATTTATGATCCCTCCTAACTATTATTTTTCCTGTATAATTTTCGATATTAATTATTATTCAAAATTAAAAGCTTCGCTTTTGATAGAAATGTTTTTAGTTATCGTTTCACAATCATTAAATGGTAAATGGGTGATATTTATTATCTAATAAGTCCTATTTACTTTTACAATAAATTTTATATAAAATTGAATTCTATTATTGTGAGCAATTAAATTAATTAATATTAAGTAACTAAAGCAATACGAATAGAATTCTAAAGTAATACTATAAACATACGGTTTGTTCCAATGCTAGACAATCTCTTTGGAAAAAAAAATACTTAACAAGTTTTTATTGTAATCAAAAACTAAATAAGAATTTCAGAAACTATTATGTGGACAAAATAGCTATGGTAACCGAGTAAAATTGCAATGTTTAAATTTTATCACTATAGAATCGAAAGCTAAGTCCGTTCAACCAAATCTGTGTTAACAATAGGAAATATTTTGACTGAATTATTTTTTTTGTGTAACAATTTGTTTATCCCTAAAAATTCATAAATAAAATAAAGAAAGAAATATTGAGAAACAATAGAAGGGGTTGGTGAGCGGATTGAGCAGGGTATGTATTACTTTTAAGACACACTATTTGTTTTAAATTTTCTAAAAGCCCGAAAACCAAATAGAATTCTGTTATTATCTTTCACCCAACGGAAGTGAACTATTATTTGTCTGATATCTTGTCAAAAGGCAATAAATCCACTAAGTAACCATGGTTACATCCATAATCCTTTAAATTATTTTGTTTGTTTTCCTTACTTCTCTCCAAAAAACCAAATTGTACTGATGAGGAAAAAGGAAGGGCAAGAGAGACCACTGACTCACAACACAACGTCATTAGAGGGAAAACTTCGATGTTTATTGGAGCGCAGCTCACTAGGCGTCGCTTCCTTCTCATGTAGACTACAAAAAATGAAACCTTTTTGATTACCTTGCGCAGTTTCTGTTTGACACTTGAGCTTTTCAGTTAAGTATCTGACAGGTATTTCTCGGGATTCGTTAATTGTCGTTAGTAAGATGTCCCTTGACGAGGTAAGTGACTCGACTTATGCATTAATATTACTTTGTTTTTATTAAAAACGAAAATAATATTTTCTATTATTGTTCATGTATAAATTTATTTTTTAAGAATTGTTTTAATTTCCCCCCAAAACAGTGATTATTACATTTATGTAGTCAGAAACGAAGTTTCAGATGAAGTGCAACTTCCAATGTTATTAAATAAATTTTTTAATAAATTTTTCAACTTTTTTTTAAAATTAAGTAGTTGTAATTGAAATTTTTAACCGTATTATTTAATCAAATAATATTTTAATCAACTTTTATAATTGAACTGTGATTGTTGTTAAATAAAAAATTAATTTAAATTTTAATCTTAAATCCAACTTGTCTGGGAAGCAAAGGCGGTCGGGGTGCAATGCTGACCACAATATCCCCATCAAGCTGATGGTTACAAAGTTATGTAGATTACTTTATACTTTATTTTATATTAAATATTAAAATACATATCACTAAATACATATTACATGTCCTGTGGTTCTTGAAAGTGTTAAAAAAATAAAATTTAGTAAAAAAATGTTTTTCTATTAAACTAATAAACTCTTTGTTTTGTATATATATTATTGAAAAATCTCGAATTGTAATGAAAGTCTATGGTTCTAATTAACAGCATACAAGTCATGATTAAAGAAAAATTTTTGAGTTCGTAGCTTAATATAATCCAGCATATATTTGAATTTGTAAAAAGACACAGTTCTATAAATTTCGTATTTTTTTGTTGTAAATGTGGGGAAATTAAATCGTCGACATTAACTATGCCATTATATTTAAAAAAGTCTCTCTATATATTTCTTTATTCAGTTTTTAAATAAAATTATAGAAAAAAAAAGATTTAATATTCATTTTGTTATGGGGGCAAAAATCCTCAACTAGATCCAAATATCCCGTTCACATCATTAAAAAATATTTGAGTATTTTTAATTTATTCCCAGTTTTAGTTTTAATGTAAATAGATTTTTCATTTATTCAATACTGGTTCATGAAAAGATTTTGAACTTAGAAAAATAATAATTATTTAAAGTTTATTTTATTTATTTATTTATTTTATTGACAGGCGCGGTCAACTTTTAATCTTATTTGTGTTGTTCATGTGACCATTTAGGTAGATATTTCTTATTTTCATAATTTTAGAATCACTAAACAATTTATAAATAATACTGAATACATAAAATTTATCGAATGCTTCATTTTCTGTTAATTCTTCTATCGAATTACTGCTCAATGCTCTTCGTTGTTATTTTAGAATTTAAGTTTAAAACTTTCTAATTTTTCGACAATATGTAAAAAGAATCAAACACCTGAAAAACTTTTGATAGAATTATTGGATTTTCTTAAATTAACACACAATCTTGATGGTTCGAAAGGTTGACTTTAAATGTGCTAATTTGTGCAAACGATATTTCAAGTTAAGCAATCAACAGAGTAGGCAGAATTCAAATCGTGATTTAAATCACTTGATTTTTTTAAAAAAAAGATTTAGATCAACAGTTTTTCTTATGAAAGAAAATCAATGATGTAAGTAATTTTTCTTTATTTCAGATAATTTAATAATAATTTTTTTGCAAATTATTTACAAAATTTTATCATTTTTGTAATAAACATTTAGAATAATACAATAATAGTAAGTACCTTACCAAAGTACTTTAGTTAATGTTGCTTTTAAATAGTATTAAACATCATAAATATTTTGTTTTGAGGATTTTGAAAGATATTAGTAATAAAAAAAAAATCTGATTTAAAATATATCGTCTGCACAAATTAGTTAACCTATTTAAATTTAGATCTCCAAACTATTAAGATTGGATCGTAATAAGCAACGATCCGATTAATAAGTGATGATCCGGAATTTTATTTTGTGCACTGTACATGCATAAATCAGTACTGCTATGCAACAAATGCAAAAACCATGTAATGACTTCCATTCATTTTTCACAAAATATTCTACCCGATACTTCACAAAAATATTCTACTGTAAAAGCAGACACTTCACAAAAATATTACCGTAAAAGCAGACACTTCACAGAATATTCTACCGTTAAAGCAGACACTTCATAGAATATTCTACAGTAAAAGCAGACACTTCATAGAATATTCTACAGTAAAAGCAGACACTTCACAAAATATTCTACAGTAAAAGCAGACACTTCACAAAATATTCTACAGTAAAAGCAGACACTTCACAAAATATTCTACAGTAAAAGCAGACACTTCACAAAATATTCTACAGTAAAAGCAGACACTTCACAAAATATTCTACAGTAAAAGCAGACACTTCACAAAATATTCTACAGTAAAAGCAGACA